TTATGGTTAATTATTCATATTTCCCCATGAGTTAATTCGCTACAAGACTTTCAATATGATCGTCATTGGTGAGTTACTCCATGTAATTTACCCTTAACTGTTTGTGTGTGTGTGTGTGTGTGTGTGTGTGTTTGTTTTGAATAAATTACATATTAGAACACAAATCAGTGATTTTTCTTTTATAATACAAAAATACATATTATAAAACCAAATTCAACTTCATAGGCATGCTGTAAACATAATGGTTCATCAACATAAAAACTACATTTCTGATTAAATGTCTGACATTTCTGAAATCCTGTGATCCTGTGATCCTGCAAAACACAAGTGGATTAGAAAAAGGCTTGATGGATAGATTTTATTACAATTTTAATTGAATAAATGGTCTTTTAAGAACCTTATTATGATGACCTAACACTATAATTTATTCCTGATGGTTCATGTTTCTTTGAAGTCACTATGAAATCAAAATGGATGATTCTTGCACAAATTAATGTGCCCTCATAATCAAAATAACTTACCCATCCAGTTATCCAATCAATTCCCAATAGACAAAATCAAGTCCTGCCTTCGTATTTTATTTTATTGATTTATTTATTGAGATGTCATTTCACTCACACACAGGGAAGAAAAGACTATAACAACTTTAATTGCACAGCATATGCAACTAATATTATTAATGTGGCATTGGAGAATGTTTTCTAAAAGTTTTTCCTGCAGTTATACAAATGCACAAAACTGCCAAAAGGACTTAATTTTTCAACATCAATTCAATGTCAATATGTTCCTTTATATTTCTTTATTTTTATTCCAGCTGCTCTGTCTGATCAAGTCAAAACCGACGAAGAGCCCCGTATGGAGAAGAGGGAGTTTGACTTGGGTATATTTTCACCCTTCCTTTTTTATCTCTTAATAGATTGCATATAATGTAGTATAGCATATCTATAAATGCATTGTTCTTAAAGGGAGCTTGACTTTAGCTTAAAGACTTGAAGCCAATAAAATGCTTCCTCCAAACCTGTAATTCAACAAACAATGATTATTATGGTTCTGGAAAGGCAAACAGATACACGGCAGCTCTTCAGACAAATACATAAGTACATAGTGACGTTTGACATGCGACAATTGTATCACAAGATCACAAAGAGTGAAAAGGCGTTTCTTGACATTTCTGGAGGCCAACCTCATAGACTATTCCTAAACCTTTCATAAACTATTCCATAATGAAATAATACCTATTGTTTCAACAGAGGAATGAGCTTTTTGGACATGCAATAGTGTCCATCTAGTGAATATGGTATACAAAGACATATTCTCTCGCACAAATGACTGTCTCTCTTCTCTCATTACAGATTCAGGTCTGTCTTCAGCTGCTGTAGCAGGAATATGTGCTGCTGTTCTGCTGCTGGTGACTGTTGTAGCTGCTGGTGGTGGGATTTACTATCGCCGCAGGAGCTCCAGAAATGGTGAGAATTACATGCAGATCCTATAGTGAGAGCGAAACATCATGTGCTTTATGCAAAATTATTATTTGGCTCCCTGGAATACTTGATTCTGATTGGTCAGTTGCGACATTCCAAATATTTCCTGATAATGACCTTCGTCATTGAATTGTGTGCGTGTGTGATTTTTTAAATTTTTTCACAGCAGACAGGGACAAAAACAAGTATGAAGGACTACTGCCCAAATGAGGTAAGATACTGTACTGAAAACTGACTTTACATGACACCAAGATCTGTGTTTGATTTTACTTGCATGGACAAAATCATCCTAATTGTTTGTTTCTCTAACTTTACCTTCTATGATTTATTGTTTTCTTACAGAAGGAGAAAGACAGTCCCAAAAATGTGATTATAAAACAAGAGAACATTTTTTGTTTACAGAAATAATCGTTACTGTAAAACATAATAGATTAATCTTTGTTTTATTTACAATTTTGAAAAATATTCCCATTGGTTTTGTTAATGTTAATAATGAAACACTAATTGTAATGCACTTAACTGTTTACCCCTTAACCTCAAGAGGAAGTATCTATATAGAGTTGAGGTCAAAAGTTTACACCCCCCTTGCAGAATCTGCAAAATGTTAATTATTTTACCAAAATAAGAGGGATCATACAAAATGCATGTTATTGCTTATTTAGTAACCTACTGACCTGAATAAGATATTTCATATAAAAGATGTTTCCATATAATCCACAAGAGAAATTAATAATTGAATTAGTAATGTAATAGTTGGGGGTAATATAATAGTACAGCCCTCGGCTCTTAATGCATTGTGTTTTCTTCTGGAGCATCAGTGAGCGTTTGAACCTTCTCTAATAGTTCTATATGAGTCCCTCAGTCTTCCTCAGTGTGAAAAGATGGATCTCAAAATCATACAGTCATTTTC